CTCGCTCGCTCGCTCGCTCGCACCCTTGCGTTGGACGCAGGGGGAACGTGTTTGTCGCGTTGATGCGTTCAGGCTCGCGCGGCAAATGAGGTCCGGCGGAACTGAGCGGCCTTTTTATGTAGCCGTTCCCCCAGGGCCCCAGCAGGCCGTCAAACCCCGGTACCCCGCGGAAGCCCTGCTGGACGTCGGGCCGATATCACGCGGGTTTTTCATTTTTTTTTTTTAAAAAAAAAAAAAAAAAAAAAAAACGTGCATGCATGAGGCGGTACCCGACAAGGGTCCCCACCAGCCCACACCTTCAGAAACCCCGAACCCCCCCCCAAACGCGCGAAAACCCGGTTCGCGGACCCCATTAATTTGCGTCCAACGCGAATTTTAACGGGATTTTAACGGGAATTTAACGCGCGTTAACTTATTTAACGCGGGGCCCGCGTTAAATCCAGTTTCGGACACACAGCTCACAGTCTACCCGAAAAAAGGCTGGGAGCATTACCCAGTTTCGCTTCATCATAACCATATGAAAACCTGAAACCTGTTGGTATGTCCCCTCGTTGCCACTCAGTGTCACACTGGATCGAACCCTCCTGTTGGGATTCAAGTTGTGGCGCCTACTGACCGAGCCGCTCCAACCACCTACCTACGGAGCCGCTCCAACCACCTATCCATTGAGCCACTCCAAGACCTTTCAGGCCTTTCAGGCCTTTTTTATTGTCATTATAGTATTATGGGGAACCCCGTAGCAGCCACATCCGTGCTCAAGCCTCCAACGAGGAAACATGCAGGAAATGCACCCACCAGCAGGTGCGATACCTGCTACAACAGGTGGGTGATACCGGCCAGGGGTCAACCGATAGCATCAGGAGTATAAGTAATAAGTAATAAGGATATATATGGAGGGCGTCAGGATCACTGCTGACAGAAGTTCAGTTTATTCCAGAAAATGTGGCAGTTACTTTGTCCAATGTTGTTGCAACCACCACCATCAGATCCTTTGTGATCTGATGGCTGGGAAGCACCCGACCGTGATTTCCAGTGGGAGGTCCCTGTTTTTTTGTTTTGTTTTTTCCTTTTTCCTGTTTTTTTAAGCCCAGAAATTCGTAATAAACCTGTCCCCCCGCTGCCACTAAGTGTCACACTGGATCGGCCAAACTCCTATCCGACTGCTAATGGGACCATACTCCAGGACAGTCAACAAGAACTGTCCTTTTGTGGTGGGTCTTTTTTTTTTTCTTCTCTTTTTCTATTCTCGGCCAGTTTTTTTTTTTTTTTTTTTTTTTTTTTTTTTTTTTTTTTTTTTTTTTTTTTTTTTTTTTCATTTTTTTTTTTTTTTTTCCCGGCCCTTTCTTTTTTTTTTTTTTTTTTCCTCGACCGTTTTTTTTTTTTTTTTTTCGTTTTGTTTTGTTGTTGTCGTCTCGGTCCGTTCTAGCGCCGACATCATCGGCGACATGGGCAGCAACAAGAGGGCGTTGGGCGGGAAAATGGCCAAAAGTTGGAGGGTCTGCCTGTCCGCCCGCCCGCCCGCTGTCGGACAAAATACCCTGACAAGTGTATTTTGCCATGTCTTTGCATTCGGCACAATGACAGCGTCAGTTACCATGACGTAGCCAGTCTGGAAACAAGATGGGTGTGCACACTTGACGTGATACTGGAAGCGAAATCCTCGACCACTGAGGCCGGGGGGGAAATCGGTAAGAAAATTTCGTTAAGAATGTACGCGCGTTATTATGACGCGCGCCGTGGTGATTAGGATCAGTAGTAATACCCCTCGACAGAAGAGGTCGAAGGGTCAGTTGGGCTGATGATTGTGTCAGGTAGGTCTATGACACGCACTGAGACTTGGTCCAGTGCCTGTCTTCCCTCCGGTACTAGGTGTTCTAAAAATTTTGGTCTTTGTCTTCCCCTACTCAGCCTGCGGGTCGAGTGTCCGCCACATCTACTTCTACTTGGTGTGGTACCAGCCTGCCCGCCACTTGAGTGATTACCCCGCTGCGACCCTTGATGCCGCAGCCACGGCTAAGTACCGGCCCATCGGGCCTCCAGATGAAATAAGTGCCCTTGAGGGCGCGCGCATATTCAAACAAACTAACCTAAGGACGGGCGCACTGGCTGGCGAGCGTGCACAAGCACGCAGGCTAATCAGGTCAGATCTATTACATCTACTTATATGGAGGCGGCTCTTTATCACACTGTGGTAAGAGCTAGCCTAGTATGTAGAGGAATGGACTTGTAAGCTGTGGACATTGGGATTAAATCCGACTTGCCCCTGGGCTAGCTCTTTTGCTAGCTACAAAGGGGGCGGGGCTTGTTTTTTTTATCATCCGCCCTCATACGGGCAGGATTCGAACCCGCAACCTTACAAGTAGGAGTTAGTAAAGTTAGTTGTTAGTTAGAACCGAGTGTCGTGGGGCTCCGACACTTGGCAAAGTAGGGAGGGATTACGGGGTTGAATCCCGTCAGATTCGTTGTTTCAGTTTTTTATTTTCTTTTACTTCTTTTTTTTGTGTTTTCCTCGATGACCTACCTGCCCCGAGGTGCCCAAATGAATCACGCCCCGATAT